GGGGGGGGATTTCTGCCGATAAGACGTTGTGGTCATGCAGAGAAAATATCGGTTTGTCGGTTGAAAAGTGAGCGCGTTCAAAACCCCAACACTGTCATTAATTTTGCCTAACATCCTCCGTGTGGCTTCCTTGAAAATAGAGGCGTTGTTGCCGCGGATCTCTGCGACTGTAGCACATATTTAATCCTCGATAAAAACTAGGCGCACGAATTTTACGATCGCACATCCCAGCGAAATTTGGGTACAGTAGAATCCGTGGAATTCGTAGGGGTAGATGGAATTTTGCAATGGAAAGGCGCAAGTCTGCTTTGCGAGTCGCTGGGGCCACGTGAGGTGCCCTTTTAAGAAGGAACGCTTACTGTAAGGTGCGAGCGCTATGGGAATGATACTAATGTTTTGAGTATGTTTTGTGGTCTGCGTACGTGGCATGCACTCACCACCTAAGAAGAAAATGCAACGCACGGCGAAAGTAGCTTCCTTTTGCGTCACTTTTGCTTCATACTTGCGTCACACGCTTGTGATGACGATGTGGCGGCGTGCGTCAGTTTTGACTTTTGTTCTCCCCTTCCAACTTCTTCCTCCCTTCTTTTCCACTCTTTAAGCTATTTTCCCTTGCCTTTTGTAGGCATATTGGAAGCTGAATTGAGCAAAATTCAACATTTTTGAAAATTGTAGTGCACGTTGCACACTCGACGTTCATTGGCGAAACACGAGTGTGTGCCTTGAGCACTCCGTGCGTTCGAATTTTTTCGTAAGTTGTGACGCTTGCACCTTATTCAACTCGCAAATAGCACTTGCTCCGTCACTGCTTGGGACGTGGCTCTTGGACCATTTGCTCTCACTGACAAACCTCCCTTAAAACTCCGTTCTAGGGGAACAAGTTACACTTGCGGCCTCGCAGATATTGGCAGTTATTTGGACATGTCCAATATCCTCCGTGCGTGCTTAAGGGCTATCTGCGAACTCGAAATTTCGTAAGAAGGACTTGCGTGGGACTTGAGATTCTGCGCAAAATTTGAAAGCAAACAGGACGCAAGAGCCCAAACGGCCGGTAGTGATCGAGGCTTAAAAGTCAGTATAAGCAAACACACAACTTTAAATCCATGCAAGTGAATTACAATAAGGTTTAGGTTTCTTTACTTTTGTTTTGCCTCCAAAAACCTCAAAAGGCGAAATAGAAAAACAACCCAAGGTTCAACCATTATCACGATCAAGTTTTGAAGGGAAGTCCAACGAATAAATTCCCCTTAGAAAACTGTCCATTGGCTCGAGTGTTGGAGCGCACGCGTGCGCGCGCGTGTGTGTCGTGTGTGTGTTTCTCTTGATAAGGGGTTTCCACAGAATGTCATAGGTTTGGTGACTTACAATTCCTTAGAACTCATTCAGAACAGAGGACTAACAGATCCGCGGATCAAATATGGCCTACCCACTTAAATGTTTGTTGCGTAATTCCCGAAGCACTCTATTCAGTGTCTTATCCTAAACTAAGGGGACAGCTTTTTAGTGGGTCGCCATATTTGATCACATGTCTGTTAGTCCACTGTTCTGAATGCGCTCTTAAGTCCCTTTGGCCCCATTCAGAATGAATGATTCGAGTACTAACTGATCCGCCGACTACATATGGCAGATCACACTTCAAAAGAGATGCCGCTGATTCCTGATGGTCTCCCTGACTCCACACTCGCCATTAAAACGGATTAAATCTCTGCTGCGAGGTTTAATTGCTAGGCCCCTGCAGCGACGGCACGTGTGGAGGCGGGGAGACCAGCGAGAATCTTTTTTGAAGTGTGGTCAGCCATATGTAGTCGGAAAATTAGTTAGTTCCATATCATCCATTCTGAATGGGACCATTTAGAGCAGGGTACTTACTTGTCCGATGGTCAAATATGACACCACTTGATTTAGTTTCTATTAACAGATTAGACGGCAAACTTTGTAGTGGGTCGCCATATATGATCTTCGGACTAGTTAGTCTTCAATCCTGAATGAGGTCTTAGTTTTAATAGTTTTCATTGGAATATTCTATTGCAGACAGTGTCAGTACATCCTGTAGCTAACTAACACTTATGGTAACAAAAAGTTGAACTCCATTTACACGCATTTATATTGTGGCAAAGGAGAGAGTGGAAAAAAGTGGTTTTCGTTAAGTGCAATCAGCTTAAGCGAGTGACACGCCTCATCTTGTTTCCAACATAATCGTATAATTGGCAGCAAAGGACTTGCCGGTGTAGCGTGCCTAGATTCCGGCCCTTTAAGAGTCCGGCGGACCCTTTTTTTTAAACTGAGTGTCCGGTAGACGGATACTAAGTTTTAAATCTGAAAGTTCGGGGGACTGCCTATATTAAAACGTGCATTCCGCAGACTTTCAGATTTAAAATGAACAGTCCGCTTTGAATCGCAGGGTCCCCCTTACTTTTGCACTTTAGGCATACCCTCGAAATATTCCATATTAAATGTCAAGTCTGTATATATATATATATATATATATATATATATATATATATATATATATATATAGTTACCTTCTTATATAAATATATATATATATATATATAAACCTTGGAAATTTTAACTTAAAGGCCATACATTTCTACCCTACGTATATTTAGCCATCAAACATGTCCTACTGCTAAACACATCCCGGCTTATTTCCCGCTGGGTGGGGTTGATATAACATTGTTTTCTGACGTTGATACAACGTTGTTATCTGAGGTTGACACAACTTTCAAATCCAACGTTTATCATTTATGGTTCAACGTTGTTTCAACGTTAAAACAACATAATTTGCCCGCTGGGTTTCTTTTGAGGGAGGGGGAGGTACGCTCTTTTTCTTACAAAATAGGCCTTACAGCGAGGAGTAGAGCTCTCCATCCTGCCATCTTTAATTAGAGAAATTTGGTAATGGTAACAAATTATGTTGCTGGTCCGGTCTAAATCTAATTTAAGTCAGCCTATAGGGATGTGCCCGGTGTCATACTGAAATTAAAATGATTGAACAAGTACATCCAGAAATGAATAGGTTTGAGGTCCGCACATCTTGCTGGACCGTCGTAGGAATGGAGTATGAAATTTTACGAGGGAAAAGGATCCGCACGTCTTGTTGGAACCTATGTTAGATTGGGGGAATCCGCATGTCTTGCTGTATCCCTACAGGTTTACTATAGTGAACATGGAATGAAAGGCGTAGTGAAAAAGAGAAATCTAAGTATAAATGACTATTGATATGAAAACTTTTGGAGGGTGGAAGGATCCGCATGTCTTGCTGGATCGCATGGTAAATTGTGAGGGAATCCGCATGTCTTGCTGGATCCTGAATGGTGGTAGTGCAAAATTAGAAAAGTTTAAGCAGAACAATATATGTATAAATGCATATTGAGTGAAATTCAAATTTCAAAGTCATCCCAATGTTATAGCAAAATGCTATTAATCCTTTTGTTGGGTTGCCTGGGTCGACCACAGTGTAGGTGTGGGGATATATTTCTTGAAGGAGTCAGAGATCCAACGCCCTAGCCATCTTATTTGAGTGTCTGAAAAAGATTGTTCTGTACGGCTAGCGATGCACCTCCTATCCTGAAACTGTGGCCTTTGTAGCGGGAAGAGTCCAACTGGCAGAAACGAAGATCCCTCTCCAACTGTTTGTTGAACGTGTCCTGGTGGATGGGTGTCAAGTTAGGGTGACAAAAAAAGAGGGCCTGGCGTATCTCCCCTCACTTTGATAAAGATATCCAGGACTTGCACCCCACACAAAGGACC